CAATTTCCATTGTTCTACCCTGACTGCTTTATTCCCACACATAATAATACACCTATTCAGCAGCTGTGCTCCCAATTCAAAATTAAGCAGCTTCCATCCATCCTGAGTATAAGGTCTTTCCATGGAATATATCAAAGACCTGGTTTGGTTCTGTTTGTTCTTGTCAGGATTGTAGAATGCATGCTAGGAATTCCTGTAACTTCAGGAGAAGATCTGTAGAAACATTGGATAGACTGAACAAATCATTTTCCCAGATACAGGAGCAAAATGGGGAGACTCTGGAGGAAATTCCCAATGTAAGTCCTACCGTAGTTGTCTGGATTCTATACTGCACAACACTCTCAATGATACGAACTAGGAAGAAAACCTGTTTTGATTTGTAATAAAATGTCTTTGAGAGGTGTACCAATATGTGATTGCCCATGTAGATAGTGACTTCACATTGATAGAATGCTTTCAATGAATGATTAGCAGTCACATCTTTTGATTCTCCAATTTCCACAATGAACAATCCTGTCTGGTATACACTCGATTATCTATCTTCTTCCACTGTTTATTCATTTATACAGAAGTAAAGTACCGCAGATGCTGGAGACCTGAACGAGAAACAGAAAATACTGGAAATATCTAGTACATCTGGCCTCCTCAGAGGAATGACAAACTGATTGAACATTAATGTTGCCTTTCACTCTCTCTCTGCAGTGCCTGCCAGGCCTCCCAAACATTTATTTCTGTTGTCATTTCAGCAACTTATATTTATCTATAATAATCTAAGAACAGTTTGTCCACCAATCCCTCCGCTATGAGTTTATTTCTTGAAATTATATCTATTTCATCAAGATTTATCGATTTCTCCTTTTGAAGTCTGATTGGTCCATATCATGTTGAATACTTTCAGATACCTTAACACTTGTTACTGGATTACATTTATTGTTTTCCTCACAGTAAAATGTTGATCTCTATTCTACTATTCATCAGCCAGGCAGGAAAGAATTCTGATCTAGTGTTTCAGTCAGTCATGGGAGTTTTTTGGTACCTGCACTGTTCCAGACATTTACTCCACACATGGCAGACTGGGGTCTGATGGTATCCCATTGTGTAAGCATTGACCTGGAGGTCCAGCTGGACGGGGTGGTGTCCAGGCAGGATTTCCTCCTCTACAGGACCAGCAAGTGGAGGCCACAACACCAGACCATGCCAGCCTGGCACAAGATTGCCACCTGAGTTAGCGAACATCACTGTAGGAAGAAGGTAAATATCCTTCTCCACTCCACCACAGGAAGTGCTACCATCTCCTCTCCAATATCTCAAACTCACTCTATCTCTGCTGGTGTACTCATCACCCTCTAGGGCTCATACTCCGACACTCCTTTCCCTCACACACTCTCACACACACAATATCCAAGCTCTGACACACCAAATCCTGCATGGCCCCGGCACTTTCTACTCACTCGTGTGGGACACCACCACCTGCATAAGTAACAGCTGTTCCACCCACTTTCAT